TATTTTCCACGATTTGCAAATAAATTCTTTAAAAATCAGACAATGTGATTTTCTGGATTTTCCCCATTTTGTCTCTCATAGTTGAGGTATACCCATGACGACAATTACAGGCCTCTCTCATCTTTTTAACTGGGAGAACTTGCACAATTGGTGGCTGACTAAATACTTTTTTGCCCCACTGTAGTTTCCAATACTTATTTTCCACGATTTGCAAATAAATTCTTTAAAAATCAGACAATGTGATTTTCTGGATTTTCCCCATTTTGTCTCTCATAGTTGAGGTATACCCATGACGACAATTACAGGCCTCTCTCATCTTTTTAACTGGGAGAACTTGCACAATTGGTGGCTGACTAAATACTTTTTTGCCCCACTGTAGTTTCCATTATGTTTACACAGAAAGTGTCTTCCCTGATATATTGGCAAGCTTTCAAGTGATAGCTGTTTGATGATACCTGAATGTATTTCAGTCCAGAATGGTTTGTCCCAGTCCATCTACCTTTTTTAGGACCATAAAAATGTAAAACTTCTGAGGACTTATTAGGAACATACTTATGAACCACATTCTTACCAATTATTTTGGAGGTACTGTCTTCTGTGGAATAAAATAAACTTTTGCTAGTCTGAAGCTGCCTTTTCTCTGTGAAAAAGTATCGATTTGCAATTGCCATTTATTTATACAACTGCATCTTTAAGACCTTTGTCAGGTTGGCTCCTTGCAAATTTACAAAACAGGAAAGCATCTCAGTGTTTGAATCTAATGAAAGCTCTGGATCTGACAGAGAACTGGACACCAGAGCCATAAGCAGCAAGTATCAGTTAATATAAAAGGCACCAATTAGTCCCAGAAGATATATTCCTTTTTTGTGGCAAACACAGTGGGAATTGTCCAGTTGGGGCCACTCCTAGAACTTGCTCTCAATCTGAGAGGGAAGAAAGGAGCAACTTGTATGTCTGCTTATAGTGCTCTCCAAACGGATGGTGATAAAGACAACTCTAGTTGGCATGTACTGATCACAAGGTAGTCCTCAGTGAGAATTCTGATAGATGCTGACAGAACATATGATGAGAACATACAGAATTCCTATAGCAGCTTAAGCTGCCTTTTTATTTGTCCCCATCAGAGAGAAAGAAATGTTGAGAGAAAAAGTTGAATTCTTCTACGTAGTCTCAAATAAGGAAGGCTAGAAGAGAAACCATATAACGTTAACAGCAACAACAAAACCATAGCTATGGCAAAAGGCGAGGCATTCTTACTAGTCCACTAGCACCATGTACATAACAAAGATCTAGGTTACATTCCTTAGATATGTATTTCCTCTATTATTAGAACAAGTTAATATACTTTGAATCTCTCTTCCACATCAACCATAGAAAGGTGGAATAAAGTGTTTCTACCAAAATTCTGCATTGATAATATAGGCACAATACAAATATTTGTGAAATTTAAATATGAAATGAAAAGATGTAATTATTAGTGTTACTTATGGGATAATTATTAGGGCTTATGGAATCATCACTACCTGGTGTCTACCTACCCTGTTAGATCTGGCAGGAGAGGCATGCTCTGGGTGCCATCTGCTAGGAGACCCAGAAGAACCTTTTCTGCTATGGTGCCTGCCCTCTGGAACATCATCCTCCAGAAATCAGACTTGCCCCAACACTGCTGGCCTTTTGCAAGGCACTAAAAACCTGGCTTTGCCATCAAGCCTGGTGCCCTGCTAGTATGGGTGAACCCATTTAGTGGTTAGTTTGTTTATGAGTGTTCTCGGATACTATTTTTATACTATTTGTGTTGTTTTTAATTTTGGTTGTTTTTATTTTTTCTCTATTTTAATTGTCAGCCACCCAGAGTCATGTGTATGAGATAGGCGATCTTATTTATCAATCTATTAAATAATATATCCTAATTTTAAAAAATGGCACATGAAAATGTTGAATTAAAAAAGTGTGACAGTCCTAGGACTGAAGGCAACATGTATGGAACTGCCCCAAGAAAACCAAAATAAACAGACTAGAGTTTGATATGCAGACAATTCTGGGAAAAATGCTAAATAACAGATATTGCTAAACATTACATTTGTTTGCTTTTGGTTATATTATATTGTGCTTAAAAAAAAAAGCCACAGAACATTCATGTGGAAAAATATACTTGACAAGCCATTCATAGATTCATATTCAAAATCCAAGTGTAGAGAGTTGCTAACTACTGCACAGAAAATGCTTGTAGACATTTCATGGTAACTGATGGAGTTTGTGCCAGACACAGTTCTTGCAGATCCATACTGAAATTTTAAACTTTAGAGTGATTAGAGCATTCCAATGAAAGAATACAGCCACAGAAAGGAAAATAAATGTAAACCAAGTTTATTTTGCTTTTTAAGTAGTGTTCTTAAAGCACTACAGCATGGTAAACAATGTAAATTAGTAGAAGTCATCTCAAAAGCCAGAGTTCTTCTTTAATGAGCTTGTTAAAAAGATGCAGCCTATTCTAACAGGATAAATATTTTAACCATTTCACTTCGAGTTAATGAAGGCTCACAAATGAGCAACACTCCTCATTGAGGAAAACAAAAAGCTGTTGTCGACAAAGCGACAGCACACACACAAAAACAAAAGAACTGTGTAAAAATAACTAACTGTACTGTGTTCCCATATTTTTTCCAAGTTGCTTTACAATGGGATGATATGCACATGATCTTGCTGCAAATTTGCCATATGACTTGCAAATATCAGTAGCCTAGCCTTATCACTTAGCCCCAAAGCTGCTCATGTCTGATGATGCAGCACTCATCTTCCTATTACTAACAATTAATTTGATGGATTTCTTTATTACCCTTTTTTTCTAGACTGCAGAGCAGACTAGAAAGTGATCCTTAATTAAAAGAAAAAAAAAAGGTGTTCTAACTGGAAAAATGTTTAATTTTGCAATAGACTTTACAAGTTATATGTTTTGCCTTTTTTTTTTTTTACTCTTAGCCACAAAATGGGCATGAAGTGTTTTATTTTTAAAATGCCTTAATTTTCAACTTCATGCAAATCTAAATAAAGATGACCAAAACAAAAAGCTTAAACAATGGAAGGATATTTCACAGAAAATTTCTTATACAAAAACACATAAGAAAAAAGGGCCACTAGGTGACATCTTAAATTTACAAATTGGCATCATTTTGGTCAACAAATATCCAAGTCCTGTTTTCTTCTACAACAAAGCAGCTGTACAGAAAGAAAACAGCAAAACTGGTTATTTTTTTTAATCACACATTTCCTCAGGAATTTCATGTGGATTAAGGATGCCAGGGACAGACATCTGAAGTTTGTGTTTTTCCTCCTGAGCCTGTCGAAGAGCTGTCTCTCTTTCTTCCAGGAATAAGTCAGATGTGTCTTCACCTGCAAATTCCTATGGAAAGAAAATAATTTAGGAGTTATAACCCAGACATATAGTAAATACTGTCGAAAAATTTTTAAAAGGCACCAAGCATTTAAAGCTTATAATCAATAATAGGAACTTAATTTATTATTTATTTATATATCAAATTTATGTCACCGCCCAACTCCCT